TTTTTATATTTAAATAAATCTTAATATCTAATAACTTAATTAAATAAGACAGAATTAAAATTTTATTTTGAAAAAATTATTTATTAATATTTATCTAATGTACTAATCTTTTTGTACTAGATCATATTATCTTATATTTGATAAAATTATATAATAGCATGCAAAAAAAATGAAATACTAATTTTAAAAATAAAAAATTAACAATATACATTTTATCTCTTTTGCAAGCAAGATTTAAATATAATAATTAAATTATTTAATATATTTTTGTATTAATTTTAATCAAATTTTATGTAGAATTTATAAATAATATATTAATAAATTATCTTGAATCTTATCTTATTTACAAGAATTATAAATATAATTCATATTACTTTGACCTTGCATTTAAAAACCTTTTGCTTATTATAAGCAATATAAACAGGAATATATAAATAATTTTTTGAAATTAAAATTTTTTATTCATTCTATAATTATATGAATAATAGACAAAAAACCTCAAAATAAAAGTTAAAAATATAATAAAAAAATAAAATAATTCTAAAATCATTTACAACTTATACATATATATCACATACAGTATATCTTTACATCAAAGATTTTATAAAATTATACTAGCATGTAATTTAAAGAATAAGGCTGAATTTTTGATTAAATAAATGATATATACATATATGTGAGGTATGTAAATACTGTATATAAGAACGATAAATCTAATTTTACAAGTTTAAAAAATTGTCATTCTTTTTAAAGTAACCACCAAAGTCCAAAAAAAAAAAACGGCAAATGATTGCATTAAAGTTTTCTATTAACGTTAATAAAAAAGCTACAATACGTAATAATGTTTCCCAAATTTATTTATTAAAGCATTAATGGAATATGAAATTAATGTTAAGGGGGGAGAATTTCGAATTTAATAGGAAAGAAAAATCAGAGCTTATTAATTGCGTGTTCATGAATAATATCGATATGCTTAAAATAAAATCATTTTTCTTAAGTTTCTTGTGTATGGGTTAAAAATAAGGGATAAATTGTTAGCGAAGGGAACTTTATTTTTTTGGTGATGAATAGGGGCATAAATTATAAATTATATTTTAATTCTTAATTCTTTAAACTTATAATACGACGCGACGGCGACGATGATTACGTATAACGATTTTTTTTTTGCTTCTTAAGGGTTGTGTTTGTTATCTAGATGTCTTTTCTGCCATCATACGTGTGCTAATTATGACTTATTGCCCATGCAATTCACACCCATTGTCATCTGCTCCTAATGCAAAAATAATTGCGAATTCACAAATGTCAATGTGGGAGAGGGTGAATAAATGTAAAAGCGGGGAAGGAAAATTAAATTACATATGAAAAGCATCATATCAAAAACTATATTAAAATATGTTGATTTTAAGATTCTGCAAATGAAAACCCAACTGTAATGATTATTCTTCTTTCAAAGAAAGTCATTTATCGTTTAGGTTGTTATTTGTAAGGGAAGCGGAAAAGAATGCGAAACGATGGAATCTGTATTCTGTTTGTGGGTTTATCCTTAGGCTAATGAAAGTTTTATAGAAAGAAGTATTCATGAACATGCGAAATAACTATAATAGAAATCATGTGCAGCGTTTCGTGGATAATAGGAATAAAACAAATGAGATTTTGTGAGAAAGAAATAATAAATAAATTTGGGAAGAATAAAGTCTATATTTCTACGTAGCTTTCTACGTCTTTTTTTTTTGTGAAATCAGATAAAGTCCGATAGAAATGTTTTTTTAATTTTCGATCTTTTGGATGTCGAAAAGGATAAGTCAATAATCCAAACGCGCGTACAATAACCAGACCCCAGTCAATAAGTTAAACACACTCTTCGTATATTCAAACTAAACTTTGAATGTAAGTGGAGCGAACATCATAAATGACTTTTTTTGCGCTGAAGATTGTCGTTGTGATTTTGAAGGAGCGCGATAAGTAATATCTGCCCGATGTTTTGGTGATGGTGGACGACTGGGAGTAGCTGTACAAGGTGGCGTCGTTGCAGAATATGATGGAGGTGGTGCTAAAAGGGGAGTTACGAGTGATCGACAAGAGACAAGACGGGCTTCCAAGCTCTGATAATAATAAATAAAATAATAAATATTAAGAAATTATTATATAATTGTTTGATAAAATACAGTATATAAATAGACAAAAGCAAATACCTTTACTTTTCCGACCATTTCTTGGACCATCATAACAGGATTTGATTGCTTTGATTGTGTGTGTGTAGATAAAGTGGGGTTTGGTGGAGGATTTGATTGTGCGTATGCAGATAAAGTGGGACTTGGTGGAGGACTATCGACAGACATTGTGGTGACTGCGGCCGTTTTTGATTGTGCGTGTGCAGATAAAGTGGGTTTTGGTAGAGGATTTGATTGTGTGTGTGTAGATAAGGTGGGACTTGGTGATCGTGTGTATGCAGATAAAGTGGGACTTGGTGGTCGACTATCGACATACATTGTGGTGACTGCGGCCGTTTTTGATTGTGCGTGTGTAGATAAAGTGGGACTTGGTGAATGTGTGTATGCAAATAAAGTGGGACTTGGTGGTCGACTATCGACAGACATTGTGGTGACTGCGGACGGTTTTGATTGTGCGTGTGTAGAGAAAGTGGGACTTGGTGATCGTGAGTATGTAGATAAAGTGGGACTTGGTGGTCGACTATCGACAGACATTGTGGTGACTGCAGCCGTTGTTGGTGGTCCATATTCTCCTTCTTGTTGGTTTTTTAAGATTGCCATTTCAATATTGATATCTCGTAATTCATCCTTTAATCTCTGTACTTGTACAATCAATTGATTCTTCCCTTCAAGTTCATTTTCGAGTAGAACATTTCGTTCGATTGCTTTATTATATTTACTTTCCAGATCCATTAAAGATGATTGGGCAGCTCTATTGAAGACCACAAATATGAGTAATGAATATGAATATCTTTTAGTCAAAAGAATAATATTATACGAACCGTTCTGTTCGCTCTAACTCATCATTGTAGAGTTCAAGTTCTCTTGTCTCAACCATATATTTCTCTTGAAGGGATCGTAAGTTATCGAGCTCCTTTTGCATTTGTGTGGTACTGATGTTTGCTTCAGATTTAGATTGATAGTATTTTTGCTAATTGGGGAATAAATAATTAGAATATTGTACCAATGGGATTGACAAAGAAAGGTATAAAAAAGATTTACCTTCCATTCGTCGACTTCATTCTTCAACTGTTCATTTTTGATTTTTAAATCATTGCATCGTTTTTCTGATTGTTCAAGTTCTCTTTCAAGTTCTTCCTCGAGTTCTCTTGACGATTGTTGAAACTCTTCAAGAGTTGCTTGTGTTTCCGTTAAATTTTCTTCGAGCGCAAAAGCTCTTGCCTTGTAATGTTCAAGTTCTTCTTGAATAGATTGAAAAATTCTGAACAAGAAAAAAAAGGATTAGGGGGGTTCACATTTTTCGCAAAAATTAAGCCAAAAGTGAATGATAAATACACTTACTTTACACCCATTATGAGAGTTGTAATGCCAGTGGAGTCAGTGAAGTGTATTTATTGTTATTGTTGTAACTGTTGTGGTTGTAGTAGTTATTTTTGTTGCTGTTGTTATTATTGTTATTATATTTAAGTAAATAACTATTAAAAAAAAAAAAAGTTTTTGAATAGTAATGCGCGAGAGAATAGAAAAAATGGTTTGTTTAAAAGCCCAACTGTCGTTTCCTAAAAATGGGGCATACGGGTGACAATGAATATAATGTGGTGGAACAAAGTAATTTGTCTACCCAATAAATCCTTGTGGATTTAGTGATATCATAAATTCGACATACAATCACTAGATATATTTGAACTTGATCGCCAAACCCTGAATAAGGAAGAGTGGATTTGGAACAGACAGCGAATAATACTGTCATTGATTGATAGATAAAAAGTAAGTCAGTAGGCGGGTTTTAGTTGACATGGTGCAGAAAACATACATTCTATATGAAGCTAAACATCATAAATACGTATATTAAAAGGCAATAGAAAAAGGCGTAATTATTATACAGTTTATGTGAGAGGAAAATCTCTACTTGAAAGGATTTTTTTTGTAGAAAAGTGTGAAAATCATTCGTGTATCCGCAGGTGAAAACCAAAATAGACATGCAAGGAGAGAATGGGTTGGTGAATAACGATAACGATATGTGTATACATGTATTTATATGTGCATGCATTTAGGTATGTAAGTTACATGTACATGTATAAAGAGAAAAATAATAATTTAGCAAGAGTGAAATCTTCTGTTGAGTCGTCAATATGTCTGCCTTTGATATTATTAGCGACGGGATAAATTTGTATAAGAAACACGATGATGACGAACAATGATAATCATGGATTGGACTTGAAAATACTCTCGCAACTTACAAACACGTATAACACGTGCACTTCATTGTGAAAAAAATCAATTTTAATTATTGTTCATTCTTTAAGAATGGCCCACGAGCTGTTATTACATGATGCTATCAACCAATCAAAAATCTCTCAGGCTGGAAAATACCCAATTTCTACTTAGCAGATAAGAAAACAACGAGAGTAAAATAGAGGTGGGGTACATATTGTTATACTGGCATCCCAAACAACCTAAAAAAAACTTTTCCAATCCTAATTGAAAGTTTTTTATTTTTTTTTTTTGATAAAATTTAGATTATTCGTCGATTCGAAACCGGTCTAAATCTTTCTTGAGAGGTTATTAGTAGTATTCAGCGTTGTATGAGAAAATGGCACGACATCGTGAATTCGGGAATCTCAAAAAGGTATTTTTCTTTAAGTCCATTGTCTATGCTTATTACTACATAACGATAGCAGATGTATAAAATGCAAAGATATACGAGAACTATTTCAAGAAACAATCGACCGGAAAAAAAGTAAACACTAACACAAAACTCCTTGTGTTCATTTTTCTATTATCGAAAAAATCATTACCGAGAAACGAAAATTAAAATAATAAATGAAACCTTATGAATTCGTTATACATCTACTTAGAAGAAGAAGACATATACATGTATATCTTTTTTTCTTTGATTCTACGATAGAGATAGCGAATGTGCTTTTATTGCGGAAGTATTTACTTTCATGATCATATCCGATGTGACAATTTTCATCTTTCAATGGTCACGTAATGGAAAATGGAAGTCTATATATTTTGTTGTGATGGTGATATGTACTCGTCGTTGATGATGACAAGGGTGTTTTCGTTGAATCCTTATATCAACTGTATGTGTGCAGACAATACATTTCGAGATTCAAAGAAAAATATTAAAGCTTTTAGAGAATAAAGTTAGATTTTATCTTTGACACACATTATAATCGAAGAACAGCTCTAATAGTAGAACAAAATTATATGGATAATCCTTATCACTTTCTATGTTCTAATAAAATATGCTCCTTGCGAAATTTTACTATAAAACTTTGCGTGCAAAATAGCCTTAACTCCGAGCCTAACCATAATTAAATTGCTTTTAATATTCATACTTTGCGGTTTGATTTAAAATAAGTCACTTTTTTATACTATGATTAAGGTACTTGATATATTGCACACAAAATTTTATAGTAAGGAACTTTTTTTTATTAGACAAGAAAGTTTTCATAGATGAAACTTCGAGAAGCTATTTTTCAAAGAAACGTTACACAATAATATTGCGATTTGATTGGTCCACCCCTTAAAAATCACATGAATCAGGGGTAAAAACTTATATGTATGATCGATTTCTGTGTTAACATTAAAAGTTACACATTAAATGATAGCAAAATCACGATATCGAAGATTCCGTGCGTTCATTTATTCGGGATCATAGTGTTGAATGTCAATGACGCAAAATGTTACTATCAAACATTATTCATTACATTGTGCATTTTAGACATTCAGTATCTATTTTAAATAACATGTTTGTGAGAAATCAAAAAAGCATTATTCTTACATTTACATTTTTTTCTTTTGATCCCACTTGTAATTTTGCAATGTTTTATCAAGTTAATTAACATTAATAAATCTTGTAATGAGTTCAGTTGATAACAATCAATTAATCGATTAATTGACTGTTCGATTAGTTGGTGACAATGTGACGCAGCCAACTATAATCGATTAATCGTGACAACAATTGACGATTAAAGCTAACCCAATCGATTGATACCACTATTAAATAGGGGATTTTGTGCACAAGTCAATTATCAAATCAGAGCTTTAAAGCACACTTTATTCATTCTTGCCTAACTATTGTACAAGTCAGTCTCATTTATAATAAAAGTTTGATATAGTAAAGATGACACTATGATAGAGAATTTTCTCATATAAATCAAAGCTTAATAAATTTCCCTTGATAATGAAAAGAAAGGTTGGTTTTTTCAGATAAGACAACTATTCAAATGTTTATAATACATATTAACATATCATGAAAAATTTTTAGTAAAACATTCATTTAAAGCTTATATTTGAATGCAATCAATTTTAAAATATTCATATTATCTATATTATAAAATTCTAAATAGCTTTATAATACTGACATATTAGTAGATAATTATTAATTTTTATTAAAACAATGATTCTAAGTATATCAAAAATATTCAAAATAATTGTCTTTTTGCTTGATTTTATATAGTTCAGATCTAATTCAATCGAAGTATAATATTAAGAAAAAATAATTGAATTAAAAAATTATTTCTTAAAAAACTTTATATATTAATACTATTAATTATTACATTTTTTCTATTTCTTTTTAATTATACTAATGAAGTTGATTCAAGCACGAAGAATGCGAACTTAAATTTAAGTGAATATCCAGAAAATAATCCTGAGCTAGCTAAAAAAGCACTTGAAATTTTAAAAAGAATAGAACAGCAAAGCCAAGCCGGTCAAACCAATAAAAAAAGCTATATACTGATATTAAAGATATTTATATTAATATTAATAAAATAATAAAAGTTATAACTACAGTTCCTGGTAAAAGTAAGAGTAGTGAATGTTTTTGCCTATATTTTAACAATAAAGTATTCAAAACACATGAAAATTAGTAGATATATTCTTTAAAATATTGTGAATAAGATTCTCTAATAGCATAAGCATGTTAGCTTAATAAAATTTGTGAAATTTTGCTTTACATATGGTGGATTAGGTGTTTACATGAAATAACTTTGAAAAAATATTTATTTAAAAATATTTTTTAATAAGTAATTTTGAAAATATTTATGTAAAAATATATTTTAAGATATAAAGAATATATTTATAAGTTTAAAAAAATTTTTTATTACATAATTATTTAATAAATACCAGTTAAAAAAGGCTTTATTTTGATGAATTTTATAATAAATCATAATAAAAATCCATTTTTACTATATATTTTACTATAAAAATTTTTTTTAAACTTATAAATATTTTCTTTATATTTTAAATATATTTTTACAAAAATATTTTTAAAATTACTTATTAAAAATATATTAAATAATTTTTTTAAAGTTATTTCATGCAAACATCTAATCCACCACATTTGACACAAAATTCTGTAAAATTTTATTAAGCTAATATGCCTTGTACTATTAGTAAATCTTGTTTGTAATATTCTAAAGAATATATTTACAAATTTTCATGAGTTTTTGTTAAAATATAGGTGAAAATATTCAGTGCTATTACTTTCATCAGGAACTGTATATAATTTGACTTTAAGTAATAGATATTTTTTATTTATAAAAACATATATTTATTATTTTTATCAGAAATTATAAATATAAAATTATTTATTTAAATAATAAAGAAAAGTAATAAGAGATAAAATACTAATTAGAATGAAAATAAGAAAAAATTTATATAAAAATATTATAAAAAATAAAAAAGATATTAAAATAAAGAAAAAAATTAAAAGCAAAATTAATTAATAAATATAAGATTATATTATAATAATATTTTATTTTAAAATAAATAATAAATTAAATAATAAAAATTATAATATTTTATAATCAAAATACAGTATTAATAATATAAAATTATTTATTTAAATAGTAATAATCAAAATATAAAAGCTATAAGTAATAATAAATTTTAAATAAAAAAATATTATATTTATTATTATTATTATTATAAATAAGAAAAAATCTAAGAAATCAAGAAATAAAGAAAATTAATAAGAATAATAAATTACAAAAAGTAAAAAAAATTATAAATTAAATAGAAAATAAAACTAAACTTAAAAAAATTAATATAAATATAAAATTATATTTTTATCCCTTAATGCGTCAGCCCACTCCAGACAAATTTGCCTGCAAAAAGTTAATTGAATTTTTTGTAGTATTGTTATTATGTAATTCTATTTTGGTGCATTAATAAAATATATTCTCCTAGTTTTGGAGATTTTTTTAAGCTATTAATAATAAAAGTAAATTGCTTTTTGAGTGAGCTATATTATCTCAAAGTTGGTCAATTAGCAAAAAATAAAATAAAATAAATTTAATTTTTAATTTTTTCATTTTTTGACTATAGGTGATCCCCT